AGCCTGCTGAGATTTTGATAGGGATTGAGTTGAATCCACAGGTCAATTTCCAGAAGTAACATCTTTATAATATTGAGTCGTCTGTTTTACAAACATGGTAGGTGTATGTCTTCATTCATTTAGTTACTTAGCCATGTTTTGTAGTTTTCAGGGTACAGATCTTATTTTTTAAAAAAATTTATTCCTGAGGGGTGCCAGGGTGGCTCAGTCATTAAGCGTCTGCTTTTGGTCCTGGGATTGGGCCCTGCGTCGGGGTCCCTGCTCGGTGGGAAACCTGCTTCTCCCTCTCCCTCTGCTGCTCCCCCTGCTTGTGCTCTCTCTGTCAAATAAATGTATAAAATCTTTTTAAAAAAAATTTATTCCTAAGGGGCACCTGGGTGGCTCAGTCGTTAAGCGTCTGCCTTCAGCTCAGGTCATGATCCCAGGGTCCTGGGATCGAGCCCCGCATCGGGCTCCCTGCTCAGCATGAAGCCTGCTTCTCCCTCTCCCACTCCCCCTGCTTGTGTTCCCTCTCTTGCTCTCTCTCTGTCAAATAAATAAATAAAAGCTTAAAAAAAATAAAAAAAATTTATTCCTAAGTAATCTGACGTTTTGATGTTATTGTAAATGGTATTCCATAATTTTCATTTTCCAATTGTTCATTGGTAGTATAAAGAAAATTACTTTTTATAAGTGACCTTGCATTTTGCAACCTGATAAATTCACTAATTTGTTCTAGTAGGTTTTTTTTTAAGATTTTATTTGTCAGAGAAAGAGAGTGCACAAGCAGGGGGAGGGGCAGAGGGAGAAGAAGGCTCCCCGCTGAGCAGGGAGCCCGATGCGGGGCTCGATCCCAGTTGGGATCATGACCCAAGCCGAAGGCAGACGCCCAACCGACTAAGGCATCCCTGGAATAGCTTTTCTGTAGATTCTTCAGGACATTCTACATATAAGATCCTGTCATCTGTGAATAAATTCAATTTTACTTCTTCTCATAGGAGATGTTAAATCTTGGGGCTATAAATATAGCCACCCAGAGGGATTAGTGCCTTGTCTGGCTGGCACTGCATGGGGCTTTCTCCACAGGTCTAGGGTGCCAGAGACTGGGTAGCATCTGATTCTCCCAACTGCTGATGTGTGACAGTGGTTACACGTCAATCCTTTCATGGAGGGACTCGATCTTAAACTGGCCTTGATACTGGAAGACAGGGGGTGCTCAGCATACTACAAGTAGAGGGGGCGGAGCCTACAGAGCCCTTTTGTTCTCACTGATGTTTTTCTTATGTTTGCACTTGATCTTGGCCATGAATTAGCTGACCATTTTGTTGTCAAGGTATTCTTCACTCAAGGTGTCCTCAGTTGTAGACTCGAGGCCAATAATCCCATCTTGTATAAGGAGGAGAGACACAAAAATGGCCACCTTCCAGGTAAGAGATCAGGTTATTTCCTTGGCATCAACCTTCTTGCCCAAGCCACGTGGCAGTGGCAGTTGGCTTACTGATGATTCAGAACACGAGACCAGTGATGCTTGCTGGCAGTTCCGGTGGTGGCATGAAGCAGGGAATCTTTCAAGTAACAGCACTGTGAGGATGATGGGGGTCAGAGTGCTTACTAAGTAGGTTTCTAAAATTTTCTCCACCTTTTTCAAAATCTGACATCTGTATTAGGCAGACTTCTAAGATGCCACCCAAAGGTCCTCGTTCACCCCATCCCCTGGACTGTGGGCTGGGCCCAGTGACTTGTTTCTAACAAAGAGAATACAACGAAAGTGATAGGCTGTAATTGCTGTGATTAGGTTACAAGAGACTGTGAGTCCTGCCTTGGTAGTGCTCTGCCCCCTTCTCTCACCTGCTCGGGCTGATGAAACAAGCTGCCACATTGGGAGGTGCTTGCTCCCCAGAGAAGATTATGGGGCAGGGAACTGAGGGAGGCCTCTGGTCAACAGCTTGTGAGGAACTGAGGCTTCAGCCCAACACCCTGAGATGAACTGAGTCTTGTCAACAACACACGGGTTAACTAGGAAGTTCACCTTCCCAGCCGATCCCCGAGATTACTGCAGCCTTGAGAGAGACTTGAAGGCCCTGGTTAAGCTGGACCCGGGTTCCTGACCCATAGACTGTCAGGCAGGGTTTGACACAGTGCTGTTTTAAGCCAGTCGGTTTTGGAACAATTTGTTTCACAGTAATAGCTAACTAATACAATCACAGGAGATCCCTCAACTCTGTAAAGCTTTTGGCATCCCTTTTAGAGCCTCTGGAACTTCAGCCCAATCCACAACCATGCAAATCCAATGCTTTTCGACCGGACACCTGGATTGTCAAATCGTGTCTAGTTAAGACATTTAGTCTCTAAAACCATTTTGGAATCCACTGAAATTTGAATCTTATAGTATCACTGATCAATCTTTTCGTGTCAGCTAAAGGTGACATAGTTAAAGATGGGCCTCTTTCCCTGACTGCTGGCAATGACCTCTGCTCTCCTGTGCTGGAAGGCGCCCATACAGCCAGAGGTGGTGATAAGGTCAGTGACAACTGTAGTTGGGACCACATAGGTCAGTGACAACTAAGGTAATTTCGATATTGTTATTCAAGGGGAAATGTCTGGCCTGGAGAAAAGTTTGTAGATACCAGAGCTGCCATAGCATTCCATGAAGCATGGTGGGCTGCTGAAATCCTAAGTCCTTTTTTTTTTTTTTTAAGATTTTATTTATTTGTTTGAGAGAGAGGGCCTATGCGCACAAGCTGGGGGAAGGAGAGAGCCTGATGCGGGGCTTGATCCCACATCCCTGAGATCATGACCTGAGCCAAAATCAAGAGCAGGATGCTCAAGCAACTGAGCCTCCCAGGCGCACCGTAAGTCATTTATTTTTGATGGGGCATAGGATGAATGAGGGGAAGTGGTAGGAAATAAGATTGAAAAAGAGGCGAGAACATGAAGGTCCTTGTATATGAAGCAAAAACACTTGAACATAACACTTGAGGCAATGACGGAAACTGGAGGTACTAACTTAGTGGGAGGGACTGAGAAAAGATAATCAGTAGATGTTAACATCAAGATAAATCAGATGCTGAAATTATCTGACAAGAATTTTAAAGTAGTCATCATAAAACTGCTTCAATAAGCATTATGAACATGCTTGAAACAAATGACCCAAAAAAACAACCAAAGTCCCAGCAAAGAGATAGAAAGCATAAGAAGAATCATAGGAAAATTTTAGAACTGAAAGATACAGTAAGCAAAATAAAAAACCCAATGATGGGCTCAGCAGCAGAATGAGGGTGATGAAGGAAAGAATCCGTGAACTCGACAGATCGATGGAAATGATCCCATATGAACAACACAGAGGAAACAGACTAGAAAACAGGTGAACAGAGCCTCACATACGTGTGGGAGTGTAAGAAAGGACCTGACGTTCACATTATCCCATCAGAAACCCAGTAGCCTAGAATTAGACGCCACAGCATTTTTCGGGTGCTGGAAGAGAATGGTCAGCCCAGAATCCTAGAGCTGGTGAAAATATCCTTTGGAAGGAAGGGGAAATCAAGAGAGTCTCAGAGAAAAGACAACTAGGAGAATCTGTTTCTACAGACTTATCCTAAAGGAATAACTAAAAAATGTTCTTGAAACAGGAAGGAATCAATAAAAGAAATCATGGAACATCATGAAGGAAAAAAGAATGACACAAAGAATGAAAATATAGGCAAATACAATAGAATTTCCTTCTCCTGAGTTTTCTAAATTATATTTGATGGTTAAAGCAAAAATTGTAACAGCGATGGAGTTCTCGGTATCTGCAGAAAAACAGTTCAGGCAATTATATTGTAAATGTTGGAGGGTAAAGGGATGTAAAGGATAGCAGATTTCTGTACTTGATTTAATCTGGTAAAATGTCAAAACCAGTGGACTGTGATAAGCTATGTATGTATAATATAATATCTAGGGCAACCACTAAATATCTATGCAAAGAGTTATACTAAAAATATACAGATAGATAAATCAAAATGGAATTCCAAAAAATGTTTAAGTAACGCACAGGAGGGCAGGGTTTGACACAGGCGACAACTTAGACGGATGGCAAGGGCATTATGCTCAAGGAGAAAAGGTCCGTTTTAAAAGTCGCACACTGTAGGGATTGTATTTATAGAACATTTTCAAAATGACAAAATTACGGAAATGGAGAATAGATTACTCATACCAGGGGTTCGGGATGGTGGGGAGCGGAGGGGGTGTGACCAGAAAGGGGCAGGTCAAGGAGATCTTTGTGGTGACAGAACAGCTCTGCATTTGACCACGTGGTTACGTGGACCTCAACGTAATAAAAGGTCATAGAACTATGTGCACACATCGTACAATATCCATTTTGTTTCCTGCCCTCCTTCCCCACGTGGTTTATCTCCATCATGACCACCTCCACCCACTTTCATCGTTCTCTTGATACCTAGGTCACTCTTCTCAATTTTGCTTCCATGCTTCTAAATGCTTGCGTGATGGTTCTCACTGGAGGGCTTCCTGCCACTTACTCGCAACGTATCTTAAATTTTGCTCCTCCACTCCCCTGGCCCCACCTGTCTGTGTTCTGCCATCTTCCTCCCTGTCAAACATCAGTCATCCTTGACTCTTCCCTGTCCCTGGCCTCCAATTGCTTGATTTGTCTTAGAGGATTCCTTCTTGAATTCATTTCTATTCTTGCTGCCATGATCACAGTCCTGGGACCCGTGAACTCCTGGGTTCAGGTCTTGCTTGAGACTTGACAAGAGCTTGCTGAAGGAAGAGTAGGCCTCTAAACTCTCACTACTTTTACCTAGTCTGCAGAGCAAGTATCAGAATATTCTCTGATGCAATAAAGAAAAGTATTGAAAACTGTCTGTATCTAGGAGATGGGGAAGGGGAAATCCAGAGATCTGAATCAAAGTCAAACAAGATATTTCTCCAAAACCAGTTAAACACATTTACTCTTCCACATGGTCACACAAATTATAAGCAGAGATGTGTCTTTCTCAGTAAAAGTGCAAAATACATACCTTAACTCGACGAGTAATGCTAAGGAACTGACAAGTTTTATCATAAAGTTGTTCCAGGTTTTCTCTGTCCCAGTAGAAATCGGGAGTGATCAAGAAGTCTGAACTCAAGTTTATACGGTGTCTTAAAAAAAACCAAAAATTTTAACTTTTTTATCTTGAATTAAAAAATCACAGTCCCTATTTTCTTTCTTTTTACAAAGTACTTTACAAAGATATTTGTTAATGCTGACCTTTGTAATACTTCTGAGAAATATATAAATAAAAAGATTTACATAAGAATTTCAAAATTTGCAACCAAATTAACTCAATCTTTAACGTTAATGTTATTTATGAAGTAGTTAGAAAAAAAAAACCCCTCTCATTTTGCTTTCAATTTCTGAGCTTTTTTCTGTTTTCATTAACTTTTACAAGATACACACATTTTTTGATGGATAGGTAATCATATGCCTTAAAAGTAAAAAAGAGAGAAAAGGTAAACTGACAAATCTCACTCCTATTCTTCTTCCCATCTTTCCCTTTCTCCCACCCACGACACGGAACCACTGTTAGCTTACTCTCCATTCTCCCAGTGTTCGTGCAAACACTGGACAAGCACATACACACACATTCTTAATTTCTACCTTTTTACGTAAGAGGCCTATGCTTTCTTTTAAATGAAAATCTAAGGCACAGAAGTAACATATATATAGTTGTTCACTGTAACAAAGAAAGCCCTAGAGAAGAACTCAGAAAACAGTAGTTGGCCCTCTTACCCTAAAACACAACTCAAATCCTTGAGGCCCCATGAGCACTTTATGGTGTCCTTCCAGACCTGTTCCATGCATACATTCGTGTGTATGTGTGGTATGCATACAGAGCGAGATAAAGACGAATACTCATTTTTGTTTGTTTACACAAATTGGATCGTACCATACATAATTTGGACTTAATTTTTCACCCAATGTTGTAACTTGCCATGTACCTATTCATAGATTTACCGTGTTCCTTTTAATAACGCACAAGCACTTTTATGGTAAAGAGAAGAACACTTAGGATAAGAACAGTAAGACTACAGAAACTGTTCACAAACCTACGTATATTTAATCCTAACTTCTGAGTTTTGATAGGATTATCATCTGCCATATCAAATTCTGCTGGCATTACCAAGAGAAGAGGATAGAGACTGTCTCCACCCCACTTCTTAGAGAGCTCAAGGCTTCAGATGAGCTGAGGAACGCAGAGGTGAAGAAATCCTGGACCACTTCTTTCTAGGCCAATCCCTACGGGGAAATGTGGAACAGCCCTCAAACCCTTTACGGCGATCCCTAGCAGCTCGTGCCATGTACTTGGAGGGACAAGACACTGAGCGATGCTGCATGGTGAGAAGCGTGCCAAGATTCAGGATGTTTCATCCCATAAATCCTGGGCAAATTGCAGAAATGGAATAAACTGAACACCTTCTCAGAAACTTCTTTAAAATGATGCACTGATGTCCTTCGCCAGTCTTAAGACACCGTTCCTTCTCATCTCTGAGAATAGACAGCATCTTTAAAATGGATGAGGTCTTACAGGTCGGCTGGGACTTAGCTGTCATTGCCCTAACTTCCCTCTTGCTTTCCTTTTCTGTATGCCCTAGAGGGAATGTGACGGAATCCATACCCAATAAAGCTAAAGGAGTTATTTCAGTGTAAGAGGTTAATCCTGGGATAAAAAAGCACTGTCGTGGGCGCCTGGGTGGCTCAGTTGGTTAGGCGACTGCCTTCGGCTCAGGTCATGATCCTGGAGTCCTGGGATCGAGTC